GAGTTGTTGGTGGTCAGCATGCAGGGGCATCAGATCCTCAGGATGAACGGATTATGTATAATTGGAAAATGTTCCAACTAGACCCAATTATTGGCGGCCAAAGAAGGGCCCTGTGCTACACATTGTGGATGTGATATAGGATGTTAGCAACTGTTGTAATGAAGATGACCAGGTGAGGCTATGTGCCGCCTCGTATGCACTGGATATTGGAGACTCACCCGATAGGCCCACTTCAACGTGAGGATTCTAATCCTTGAACATACCTAAGCCCCGAAGTTGAGCATGGGCATGCGGTAATTTTCTCCCCAAAGCCTTGGTGACAGCCAGTGAAATTGACACAAGCGTAGTCCACCTCTGTATGCCCGGGACCGAACAAACATACATAATCTAGGAGCTAAACTCTAAATTCGGAAAATGTCGAACCAGTCGTACTCATATTTGAGAGACATCTGGCGCCTTGGCAATGAGCCTGGTTACCAGTGTCGCGCGTGTTTGCAGATTATTTCTGGCGAAGCAATGGTCCGAACCTTTCGAGTTCTCCCACCCGGGATGGATCAGCAACACAAAAAGCCGGATTCTGAGGACCCCAGACGACCATGAATTTATAATACAAGATCTTCGTCTGTCGTGCTTGCTAAAGCCTGGGGTGGGTATTATGAAGACCTTGCCCAATTCTGCGCCTACAATCTTGCCACGCCGAACGTGGATGTCTTTGCGGAGGCTTTTGGTTCACGGCTAATATTCGAATCGGAGAATAACATGATGCAAGCCTTGTAAACAGGCGACCGCCGACGAAAGCTGGAGCAGACGATACTCGCGCTATCCGAGGTCCCACTGGGACAGTCTTGGCCCGAAGAGAGCCCCTATGACATATCCGACATACTCAAGGCCCTGGGAGTCCTAAACACATGGGCAGAGCGAGAAGAGACTCGCTTTGACTTCGGAAGCACGCACAGCAACATCTTACACCTTACGTGGCGTCGCTTTCGTGTTTGGGTCAAGTGTGCAGCATGTGGTGCTGCCTCGGTCAACGATGCTGGACTTTTCATCGAGAATGATTGTGAGCAAGTTCATGGTATGACAATGTATCGATTTCCGGGGCTCGGTTATTTTCACACCCATCCGGGGGGCATTTGCCTGCTGATAGATGAGGAAGGCTGCATTGTTGGGCGAGCGGTTTGGGCCACGCCCGCGTGTCCATGTGAAGAGATGGAGATCGTGAGACTACAAATGCCTAATCTGCCAAGGCCACGACCTAGGTCGAAGTTTTGTGAGTGGCTGGGCTGGCTGGACTTCATGATCTGAGACCAGCTCCTTCGATATTTGCATAACAGGTCCAGACTATCTTCCAGTGGCGGACGGTATAATTCAGACTCTGTAATCTCCTCGGTGCAAGGGTGGCGGGCGCAAAGTCCGACACATGTCACAAACGTGGTTCTGTGAAGTATGATCGCATATCCGACTGCCCTCATCCCGACACTGACTCGTTACATTTTTGACGCTGCCAGGCAAGATGCTTCCAAGCAGTATGGTTCGGTAACAGTGTAAGACTCGTAGACTGATTGGCGTTCTTCCAAGCTTCTCTCGGCTGGGAGTACCGATCACCAAAGGTTCAGAAAAGACGTATTATTGGAGGAAAACATGTCCAATGTTGCCTCTTTATTTTCAATTGCACTGCATTCTTAGCAGCCACTATCCAATGAGACCACCGAATCTCATCCCCATGGCCGACAAGTATCAATCCGCAGGAACGCAGTAAGCGCCAGCCCACGTCATGGATTACCTTGGTTTCACTAATTTTAGCGCAAATGAAAAATGAGTGCGCTTTTGCGCGTGAGATCTCTTGCGCACACAGCCGCACACCTATTTCGTGCTTTACTTCATTGATCTTTTCGCTTAATACAACAGCACGGTCACCTAGATTCAACATTGAAGCTCCCGAGGATTGCAACGAATTTCAAAGTCACAGTTGAGACATGGACCACACCAGAATGCAACAGCCAACTGAGGCGCAAAATGTCGAAGGACGCGGTTCAGAAAGAGTCCCTGCAACGCGTCTTGCCATGGAGGAACGTGAACAAATAATTCGCCGCTTATACATGACCGAGAATCTTCCGTTGACAAGGGTTTTAACGATCTTGCGAGAGACATATGGTGTCCAAGCCACGTAAGTGATCACATCGCTTCCTCAAATCTCAACTGACAAGCTGTGCAGTCAAAGACAGTTGACGGCTAGGATTAAACAATGGGGGTGGGGAATATCTAAAACGGCAAATCTAGAAAAGTTGAAGAGGGATCATGTCCTCCGTCAATCCATATCTTCGCTCACCCGGCAATCTGAGTCTGGGTCACAAGCTAGAGAATCTTTGAACTTCGAAAGCAATCGAGGTCAGGCCAGTATCACAGACGGTTCCAATTATGGTCTGGAGAACATCCCGAGAGGCGCAGTATCACACGCAGAAAACGCTCTCGATGCCACGGCCCAGTTGGGAGAAAACACGAAAAGTCTGGGCTACGAGCTTCCAAGTTCCGCTATACCGTCAGACTTAGTAGAAACGAAGAGAGAAAATGAGGAAATGAGCTCACCAGAGCAATCACAAAGCAGTGTCCCAGGATCATTTTTGGACAGCATCTCAATATGCTCTACTTCAGAACCCCAAACTTTGGAGTCGGAGAAGAGAAGGATTGTCGACAATGTTATGAGACACTTTCTTGAGAATATGGATACATATCTTGAGGACATTCACTATAACAGCGAGGCGGGCGACGCGGAAGACGGCGGTGACAGGAGAAGTCGTCCTTCACAAGACAAAGGCAAAGGGATATCCCGAAGCACCGGATGTCGGAAAAGAGTCATTTCTGGGAAACACGTTCAACAGCGTGATGATGGGGAAGACAACGAAGCCGACGATGGGGATGACCAAAGAGATGGTGGAAGCTCCAAGAAGACGAAACTTGATCCAGAGGGCGGCAGGCTATTGCGACTTGCGTGTCCCTACTTCAAGTGGAACCCCCGCAAATACCGCCACCATCGAGTCTGTGTTAGCCCGGGATGGGAGTCCGTTCATCGAGTGAAGTAAGTAGAGCAGTCTGAATCTCAATCGCACTTTTGGTCCAACCTAACATATGACAGGGAGCATCTATACCGCTGTCACCAGAAGCCAAAGTATCAATGTTTCAGATGTTTTCGAGACCTTGAAGGGGAGGCGACTTTGAGAGCACACCTTCGAGCAAGCCCCCTGTGTGAAACTGTCTCTTTACCGGAGCCTTGCGACAAATTCGGTACTGAAACTGAATCGCGTCTTCGAAAACGATCTAATGGGAAGAAACCAGAGAAGGATCAATGGATAGAGGTGTATAAGGATCTTTTCTCCGTTCGAGATGAAGACGAGCTTCCGACTCCCTGTAAGTTCGGCCTCCAAGATTATTTACTGCAACTCTCGCTAAACCAAGCCAAAAGACTGCGAAGACTTCAATCTCGCTTTTCACTCAGAATCCTGGTCTGAGCATGTTCATCGCGAGGTCAGACCTCTTCTCCGCGAACTTTTGGCGACTGAAGTTGCCCAAGCCATTACGAATATTGCCCCCGAGATATTGCACAATCTGCGTGATCTCGTCCGTCAGCTGGAACCGACGTTGCGACGAACTTATGAGCAAAGACAGGAACAAGATCGCGATCAAGGCGTCAATAAAAATCAGCCGGAAGAGCAAGAGATTGGTGAAGAAGACGACGATGAAAAAGTCCTCAGCCCTCCGGCTGGCCTTCCATATCTAACACCAATCCCCCACGGCTCAAGTAACATCCCGCACGCCTTGACTTCAGTCTCTGCTATCCATAATCCAACTACCGATGTATCAACATATATCCCGTATACCTCAGCTTGGACTCCTGATACCTGGACTTCGGATCCTCTTTACTTGACGACTGGGCATCCTGGATACGATGGGGCCGATGTCTTTGGCCAGACTTTCAACCCCTCCATGACCACTTGGTCCGGAGGCGTTTCTGCCTACAATAGCATGCAGTCTGGATCTACGTTGGGATCGGATTTACCTAATACCGGCGGCTTCTCAGTCCCAGATCAAACCCGTCTAGCTCAGCAATATAATCAAGAAGATGCAACCGACCTGCAGGAATGGAGTGTTGTAGGGGGGGATCTCACGTTCGATGACACGAACATCGACGGGGATAGTTTGCAGGCTGACTTTGGTGGAAGCCATGGTGCATCTCCTGGAGGTGGTGGCCCATCTGGAGCAGTATGAAGTGTCGTTAGAGACTAGGTAGTCGTAGGACAATGAAATTGCGATCTTGAAGACGTGTCTAAGTGGGTCATACATCGTCGACACGAAGTGCATTGGCTTTGTATCGAGCTTTTGCTTAAGCTATTCATCAACTGCCGTTACTGCCGCCACACGAGATGCCGTGACACTCCACCTCCATCGAGATGGACACATCGCGGGGATCACCCGCAAGCCAAGCCGACCGGCTCCCCTCACTAACAGCCCCTCCCGATCGCCACGCCACTAACGTAGGCTAGGCCTCCTAGACCGCGGCCCTAAGGGTATCCGTCGCTTTGCCCCCAGACACTTTTCTGATCGCATTCAACAGCTCATCAATTCCCTGTTGCATCTTGCTGCTGCCTTGCGAATGAACAAGAAACATTCCGTCTCGCTGCTTATCCTCCGAGATGAGGATTCATGCATCCCTGCCTGTCTCTTGGTATCCATGCGAAATGCCAAAATGCAACATCGCTTCCCAACCAAAAACGCCTTCTTCCATTGCCAATATACTCCGAATGCCGGTGTCCTTAGACCAGGTCCCTCAAAAAACGCCTTCGCCCAAATCCCGAAATCGTATCCTTTTCTCGGCCAACTTCCATAAAGATCATCATCATTACCTTCCCAATCGAGCCTCTCGTATCCCCCCAAAACCGTCCCAAACTCACGTCCTCGCCTTCTTCTTCCTCCTCCCCTCCCCCTCGTCTCTCGCACCAGACCGCTTATTCGTCGACCCCGGTGCTGTAGTTGCTGAATGTGATGATGCTGACCCAAAACCGTGCTGTTGTCCCTGCTGCTGTTGGAGTTGATATTGGGCGTACTCGTGATATTGCTGGTGGTTGTGGTACTGCGCCGCCTGATATTGCTGTTCCCCGAAGTCCATCCCGGCGACGCCCTCGTCCTCGCCGGCGCAGGCGTCGCACTCCTGGTCGAAGGCGTGCGTCTCGACGTCGACGCCGCGGCGGCAGCCCCCGAACTCGTCGGCGTTCTTGGCCTCGAGGCAGGACAGCTGCTGGGAGAGTTCGGCCCACGTCAGGGACTGGTTGCAGCGGGTGCATGTGCCCGCGAAGAGGATGAGGCGACACATTGCGCCTGGTGTGTTCTGATTGCTTGATGAAGACTGTCCTGGGATTCGTTGTGTGAGGAAAGTGGTGAGAAAGAGGATGAGTTTGTCGTCGAGGAGGACAGGTAGGACGACGAGTGCCGGAGGAATCAAGGGGGGATATTAAGAGATGATGAGTATGCCAATTGTATCAATTGACCGTCTCTTGGCCAGAGAATCTCGAAAAGATAAAACAACAACAGCGGAAGAAATGAAGAATCGAGTCAACTTGGGGGCGAAAGGCACCCTTCAAAAGGCGCGACAAGGGCCAGCCAGCTCTGGGATCGACATCAAGGGGGGCCTTAGCACCTGGTGCACATCTCGCGGAAAACGGGACGGGAGCAGGGGGTGTGCTGTGGCAGGGGTGAGGGGTGTGTTGCTGCGTGTTGGCGTGTTGGTGTGTGGGTGTCGGCAAGTGGGGGAGGAGGGAATCGCGCGATCAGCCGCAGAGAGGAATAAGATTGATCGAGCAATATGCAAGACACAAGACACGGAAGCAAGTCGAAAAAAAGCAAATCTACGGTTCATAAAAGTAATTATTTTCAATACGATAAATCAGAAGAAAAAGCGCCGGCGCGCGTGCAAGGAGACGGACAGTGGCCGCACATGCAGCAAGGCACATGCACCCGCACCCCATCAACCGTCTTGCAGCAAACGCCCCCGGCACTTGGCCGTAGGAGGGAAAGGATGAAAAAGCTTTTTCTTCTGGTTTGCCCTGTGTGGGATGGTAGGGCCATTTCCCCGTCCAGTTGACTTCCCTGCTCCGGTCATTGACGGATGTACATCAACACTGTCAGTCAGCACAACCATGTAGCTATGTGTGTGTCTGAGTAACGAGAATGTGTGCGGTCGGGGAAAGAAAGGAAGGAAAGGAAGAGAATCACCAAGGGACCTGTCGCTGTCTCTCTTCCAGCTGCTGCCACCACTCGGCGATCCAACGACATCTCCGCGCGGGAGAAGCCACCTCCGTGAAGCCCTACTACCTACCCTCAGACATTGGAGCTAAGGCAAAGACAATGTAGGCCAGGACGGGGTACACTGGCCGATGTCGATGGCACATTCCGGGCCTAGCTCTGCCTGCCTGTCTGTCCCCCAAAAACTCACTGACATACCATTTCTGAGTCGAGATAAGGTGATTTATGGCCAGAGTGGCAGCGGACGGGGCTTGCCCAACGGCGCTGAGACAATGGGAGCTCCTCCCACGAACGGCCGGAAAACCATTCTTCGAAGCGTTTTCTCTGTTCGTCGATGGAAAAGTCCAACCCCTCTTTTTGCTCTTTCTTCCTTCGGACCTTTGCTCCGTTGTGGCGCCTCTCTCCGGCGGGCGAGTATTGGTTCACCGGGGTTTTCTCCGGTCAGAGTGTTATGTTGCTCGCCAACTCTGTCAGAAGTGTATGCAAAATCAATGCGTACGCCTTCTTGAGAAAAAGACACATCTGCGGACATGTACACAGTAATCACGGATACGAGCTTAAGAGATCGGACAAGGAACTGTAGGGCGGGCGAAGCGTTCGATGGGGGGGGAGAGGGAAAGGGGGGCCGGATGCCAGGATGAGCATGGATCATGCGGCGAGCAATGCTTCAAACCTTCCTGCATGGCAGATTTGCATGGCTGCTGCGACAAGGATGAAGCTGTCTCGCAAACGGCCGAGAACCTCTCCCACCCGCCTCAGTGCTGCCCCCCTCCCTGTCTGTCTGTCTTTTTGTCCCCCGCCAGAGTGACAGCCAAGCTTGCAACCCCCCAGCTTTTGCCCTCCTGCTCACTTTTCGGCCGGCACAGCAATTTGAGAAATATCAATGCTATATTTAATTCCAACCGGTTCCGTCGTTCGTCTTGGCTGGCCGGGGACGCCTGACACGATTAAACACTGCACCACAACCCTAAATCGACCTGCGCGATGGTCCTCCTGCCCAGCAGCGTCGCACTGGCGATTGTAACTCACATGCACATCAGGAGCCCAAAGTGATCTTCTTGACTTTGCGCATGTCCCGATATCACTAATCTGTCTCTCATCGACGAAGGTTGAGCATCTCGCTCGACTGTGGTGGGGCGGCGCGGGATCGCCCTTTACACTTCCGGCGCATGGCAAGCAGCAGGAGCAGCAGCTCACTGCGTCGGCCGCCGCACGTGGCATCACGGACATTACCTGTTTCGATCATGTCTTGCGGGGGTGATGAGGTTGTGTCTCTGTTGTCTTCTCGGCCGCTAGCTAGATAGCGGAGGGCCTATTTGTTATTCCCCCAATGCAAATTTGTGCAATGCGATACTGCAAAGTGAGAGGGCGTGTGGCAGGAATTGAGATTGAGAATTGGTGACAAATTGGGGTTGCATGCGGCACACGTCGGAGGATGGCGGGATTTGTGTATGAGAAGTCTAGACCGCAGACGATGATACGACGAAGGGGCAGCTCTCTTATTGGGAGATAGAAAACACCATCAAAGATGAAGGCTAAGCCGTGTCGTGTCGTTCGGCCGTTTGTTACACATAAACGACACCTCGTAGACTGTCGTTCACGTCAAAAAGTTCGTTACTGCTTTTGCCAAGGTCGTGGTGTCATCGAACAGACGCTCGTTCGTCCGCCTTCTCGCTTATCGTGTTCGTGCCGCCGCAGAAACATCAGGCTTGAGATTTGCTTCTTCTGCGGCCAACATCTCGCGTGGTGTTTACGTGCATGTAAGCCAGATAGAGTTCTCACTCTGCCGTGAGTTTGTACGGTGGAGAGGCGGCAGCACCTTTCCACGTCTGGGCGGGCGCTGTTTCTTGCATGTGAGAGAGATGTCTGTGCCGTTCGGGAGCAGGTTCCGTGATGCACGCCAGCCCAGGTCTGAACGGGGCAGGAGTGTCAGAGATGCAGAGGACAAGATGCCTCAATGTCGAGGTGATCAGAGGGGGAGAGAGGATATCATGGGCCATGGCTCTTTGGATTATTCCCGGTGTTCACGCGCATTGGCAGGGCACGTTGAAAGCACACTTTCCCAACTCAAGATGCTGGCGTGCCGCCTTTCGCGTGGTTACATCAGCCAGATCTTCACCTTTATCAATATGATTTCCAGATCCCACCAGTGCGTAAACTTCCACACACAGCAGAGGAGCTGAAGCGTTTGGCATGTGAGAGCTCCTCCTCCTCCCCCAAGTCTGAGCTTCCGTATCACCTCGCTCCTGATTCGCCTCCTCCCCCCGCCGCTATCTTTTGACAGCTGCGGCGCGCCGCGCGCGGATGCCCAAAGTGGATGAAAAGCTACCCTGAAAAAGCCGGTTCATGCGAGACGTGATCCCGGTTTGACAGGTTGTATGGGCCGCGGGCACGATCGTTCGCCCTTGTCACCAAAGTGTATCTCAACAAAACAGACAGAGAGATGGAGGAATAGAAAGGATTGATTAGGTTAAGGTTGTGGAAACGAGCGTGGCTTGACAGATTTACCTTGCAGATGCAGCGATGGGGTGCTAAGATAGCCGCCGCGCGACGACGAACCGTCCGAGTGTGCTCCTGGTTCAGTACCTTTACCTTTACTCGCAGAAAGATTCACGTCCTTATCTCACTCACTCACAGATGCGTTCCTCGACGAGGAGACGGATGTATCCCACCGGATGTATGACATTGCAGTTCCAGCTGCCAGCTGCAGGTACCTGAGAAACGAAGCACGCACACACAAAACAGAACCAAAGAACAGACGGTGCGTTTCGCTCGTTTGCCTATCTAATTATGTATCGAATCGTGCAGCAAACGATGAGCAGTCGATGCAAGGGTCTGGGCAGAGAACGACAAAAGGATCTGGCCCGCCTCGCTATCGCTATCCGCGGATGCCTCGTTGCTCGATCCGCCCGGTTGTCTGTGTTTTTGCGTCGTCGCTTATCGGAGGCCTGCCTATGAGGATGTTCTGTCTGCGCGTGTCCGGATCGTGCTTGCTAGGATTTTTCACATGTGAAAGGGAAAAAAAAGATCAGACCCTCTCAGATCCTGCAGGTGGTCGGTGTTGGTTTTTAATCGCAGTCGTCGATGCTACAGAATGTCATGAATAACCTCTGAGAAGGAATTTTGCGAACGAGTACTGCTGCGCTGGAAGACGCCGCCCGGGCCTGGATCATGTATGAATGTTACGAAGCAATAGCATCAACGAATGCACGCGTCACGAGAGGAATGTTGGGTCTCGCACCGGCAACCCGCCTCGCCGTCTCGGATGCTGCCGAGGAGCCGGACGTGTCGCTCTGCGTTCCACTGGACACTGTGGACGAGTGAGCGAAGCGCGTGTTGACGCGTGAAATCATGAGATTCGATTGAGGCGGAACTACTATTATACAGTGTGCTTTTTCTTTTCCATCGTCAACCCGCCTGTCCTTGCCAACCTCATCTGCCGTAACATGGAAATGGGGAATCAAAAAATTCAGCTGTAGCATGAGAAAGGAAAAAAGACGGTCTGGTATCATGTCCACAAAGACCATGGAGCTGCACTGAACGGAATACGCATCCATACGATGAAGGACGTCATATAGCCTTGCTTGAGGTGTCATTGACGACGCAAACCCACGTAGAGATTCAACCGTGATACGATGCTGGTGTGATGGAATCACTCGGCGAACGAGTTGAACGGCAGTCGAGATGATCGCTTACGCCGATAGTGGCAGTCGCAACTTTCCTCAGGCACCAAAGCCCAAGCGGTATCTTGCATCATGACCAGCAGGAGTGTCTCGGAGCTTCACCATGGCCACCTGCGAAGGGAAATATTCCACGATAAACGAAGAACGCCACCGGTGTCAGATTCTGGAGCGTCCAAGTCCGAAATAGTGTTCCAGCCTTCACACAGGCGAAAAGAGCGTGCATCAAGGACATTTGGCAGGAAACCCATGTCGTCGCAAAGCGTCATTACGCACCGTGTCCATGTCAGGGTCGAGGGTCCCGGTCATGCCAGTCAAGGAACATGTGCAAGCGAAGAAGTGCCATCATCATCGTCAAGTGTCGAGTGAGTTCAGTGCATCGGAAGTCAACGAAGCAGGACCATAGGCAGTCCTTCATCTTCCTCCTTGTTTGCGATTCCCGGTTGTTGATGTGTGTCCAAGTATAACAAGTAGGACGCTGTGCTGTTGCAAGTCCAGCGGATGAAAGTTATCAGTCGTCGAGAATGAGAATGAATCGTAAAATGCGATGCGACACGCCGGAGTCAAGGGCATGTGCACCGCTTCAGTATACGCAACGCGAAAGGAAGCATCATGTCGAGTCCATGGCAAGTGATCAATCACATCACGTAGGCATGGTCTCCACGAAGTGGGCGCACGCTCAGTGCCTCCTCTATGAAGCTCCCGGGGGTGCAGCACCTGGCTGGCCCGCTGCGCCGCCTTGTTGCTGTTGATATACGAGGGACTGGTACCATAATGCAAGGTAGTTCTGGTAGCCTCCGTCTGTTGATTCATTAGCCACTATCACGGGTGCTGCAACACGTTGCCATCACTCACACTGGGCATAGGGGTCCGCGCCATCGGCTCCGGCTGGAGCTTGCGCAGCTGGGGGATTAGTCGATCCTGATGCTGGTGGGTTAGATCCCTGTTGAGAGTAGCTTCTGTCACTGTAATCCTGGTTCTGGCGACCGCGACCACCACCGCCGCCTCCGCCACCGCCTCCGGAGTTCTTCTGACGCTGCGATATGTTAGCATCTGTATTCTCCTTCAGTATCTATGCCAACTTACCACGGCATCAACCTTCTCTTCGATTGCTTGCTTTGCACGGGCGATGCTATCGCGCGAGCCGATGAGAGCAATTTCGCGCTGGACCTCCCCTGGTCCTGAAGATTGGGCAACGTTGATCTTACATCCGGTACCGTTCTGCATGTCCCGAATGGTTTCACCACCTTTGCCGATAATCATACCGACAGCCTCGGAAGGAACGTAAATAGCGTCGTGAATTTTGTCGGGACCTCCAGCCTGCGGGCCAGCATCTCTCTGATGACCACTATCCTGCCTGGGCGGCTTCTTAGCCGGGGCGGCAGGCTGGCCGTCATTTCGACTATCGCTGTCCACAATCTCCATGATGAGATCCTTCGCTTGAGCAGCAGACTCTTGCGAACCAATGAGATTGACAGGTCGAAGGCCGTTAACGCTCTTAGACTCGCCGACAATGTTGATGTGGCAACCAGATCGCTCCTGCAAGTCGCGGATCGTCTCACCGCCACGACCAATAATGAGGCCAACGGTTCTATCGGGCACCATAATCTGCATACAATCTTCGCCGTCTCTCAAAGCAGCGGCGCCTGCGGCTGCTGCTGCTGCACCTGCGCCGCGGTTGTCGCGAGGAGCTCCCTTCGGGTTCGCAGCGCCGCGGTTGATGGCCCCCATGCCGCTGTCTTCAATGATGCGGTTGATGGCGGTCTTCACCTCACTGCGTCGAGCCCTGGGGCCGGTAATCTTGCACTGGCGGAAGGGACCATTGTCGCTGGACGGGAGAAACTGCACCCGGCAGCTGGACTCGGATTCTATTCGGCGCAGATTCTCGCCTTGGCGACCAATGATCAGTCCAACGAGACTGGACTCAATCTGGATAGTCTCGGCGTTGTCATCGCCGCCGCCGCCGCCGCTGGCTCGGAGTGGTGACCGTTCTCTGGCGTTGGAGTTGCGCGGCGAGAAGGCGCGACCACGGGGGCCTGGACTATAGGACCGTTCGCGACCGTAATCGCGAGGACGTTCGTCGCCGCGTCGTTCATCTCTGTACGGGTTGAAGTTGTCGCGGAACTGGTCGCGACGGTTGGGAGGCGAACGAGATCGCGAGCTTCGGTGGTAGCCTCCACGAGAATCCTGGCGCGGAGGCTCGTTGGAGTAGACGAGGGGTCGGTCGTAGGAGGCAACGCCCTTCTCAGCGGCAAAGGCCTTAGCTTGGGCGATGGCGTCGGCGATGCTCACAGTGCCAGAGTTGACGGGCCGGATAGAGCTCAGATCGAGACTGCCGCTCGCGGAGGGCTGAGGCAGCTGGTAACCTCCGCTTGCGCCGTAAGGAGGCGCACTCTGCGGCATTGGAGGGTATGACGGAGGTTGGGCACCGGGAGGAGGAGGGTATCCAGGCGGCATGCCAGGCTGGGATTGGGTGGGTGTCGAGGACGTGCCTCTTTGTGCTGCGCCTATCGAGGCGAGTCGTTAGTTGGGGATGTAGACAAGGCGCGGTTCATGTTTCGGGTACCTACCTAGGGCAGCAAGGATGGACGAGATGTCGCGGGGTGGTTCGGCCATGTTGGCGATTCTTTGATGCTTCACGATCAATAGAGAGGATGGTGAGTTGTCAGGTCAAAGGAAGTCGTGAGGTTGAAGGTCTCGTGGGTGCGCGAGTTGGATTTTCAGTGCGACACGATACGAAATGGGATGTGGATTACGAGTGGGCTTGATCAGGTGATGAAGGAGCGCCGCAATCTCTTTATTGTCGCGATATCAGAGGAAGACAAATCAATGCAGTATTCTTCTTGGACGACGCGATGATGACCGTACTGATGTTGGAAACCCGCGACAATGCCCTGATGTTGTCGGTTGGAGAGGAAGAAGGGCAGGGCAAGCTGAGGGTGAGAGTTGCAAGGTTTGACGTCTGAACGAGACCGCCTGCCGAAAACAGAATGCGCCGACCTTCAGCTGCGATGCGCGACAGGAAGGAGGGTCCAGGGGCAGGGCGGGCAGGAGGTTGGAGAGTGGCCCCTAGTGAAAATTTGGAAGAAGCGGACTTATGTTGCTCCTTGCCGTCAGAGAATGAGGTACTGGCCCGTGCATCTGCTTAGCTAAGAAGCGGGAAGGTGCACGTACCCTCGCCCAAGTCGTCGCTTCTTCAGCGGCGCAGCTGCCTTCCAAGGCCGGCGGTGAGATAATTGCGGCCAAGTTTCTGTGCTCAGGAAGCTACCTACCTACGTCACCTCTGTCCAGAGCTTCCGTGACTGACTGATTTCAGTCAGGCAAGGCGCAGTCAACTCCGGCTCAGAGCATGAGGAGCTAGGATGACTGCCACTCGCACGCCTGAGTGAGCAAGAAACTCCACGTGAGTTTGCGACACTGCAGACGATCCAATTCATGCCTCGCATGCAAGATGTGGCCAGTCAGTCAGTCTCAGGCGACTCAGTCCGCAGCCATATGGTGGTGCAGCAGGCCACGCATAGCTGCTGACAGACTGGACCTAAGGGCTGAGTAGACCATCATCTTACGATACGAGATTGTTAGACGTGCCTCGCAGCTAGAGGAGGACCATCCGAATATCTCATCTAAATATCCGTCTTACGGTCTCGTCCCAGAGACCGCAAGCGCCGTCTTCATCGTTGGCGGTTCGTCGTCCGCAGCGTCTGCAGCGAAGCGCCCAACGTCGCAGAGCGCGGGCCACCAGCGGCCAATCATTCTCTCGTAGCGTCAAGACTTGAGACGACCCCACAGAACAAAAGGAAGCACGGGGCACTGGTGAGTTCTTGTTTGGTGGGTCCATCGCCAGTTGCCGCAAGAACCCTCCGATGGAAATGCACATCGATGGAACGCTGAGCAGGCAAGCAAGGTCCATGGAGGAATGCAACTGACTGTGCTTTCCTCGGGCACCTTCCATCCTTCCTTCTTCCGATAGGTAGATGATGGTTAGCCGGGGCAGTAGCACTGGAGAAAGAAACTTGGCAGGTGGAATGTGAATGAAGTCAAGAAGGTGCCACTACTGCCTTATTAGAGGTGTACCTGCCGTGCCTGCACCTGCACTTGCCTGCGCTGGACCTGCCTGCCTAGTCTCTCGTACCTTACCTGCCGTGCCTGCCTTACCTTACCTTACCTTAACCCATTTAGACGAACTGCCTAGGCATTTGAAGGGAGGCACGATTTGTGGGATTGCCTTAAGCTTTCCTGCCGTCTGACCAAGATCAGCCTCCAAAAGACCGTTCCTGTCGCAAACCGGTTTTTGACCTGCCGTGGTTGTAGTGGCAAATGCTTGGCACTGATCATCAACCATGCCCCATCGCCCACCCGCGCCCATCGCCATCGGCCGACATGCCTTTTGGTGGAAAGGTCTGCCCAGCAAACACATCCACACTTTTTGCCAAAACACCAAGGGTCCGGTCCCCATTCTTGCCCGTCGCTTGCCCAGCCAGCCAGTCTTTTCTCCTCTTGCCATCTCGTTGCAGGGGTCGTACCTTAGCGGCGTGAGCCCAATGGCGGCATCCGCATGACGATTGGACAAAATGTTTGTTCAGACGATTGGGGCCCCCCTGCAGGCGCCAGCCATCCGCCGCCTCTTTTCGTTCGCTGGCTGACGATCTTTACTCTGTTCCTGCTTTGCTCTTCCCAGTCACCATGACCCTTCGTGCAGAACTCCCCGGAAATCCAGCAAATTCAGAGAATTCCAGACCACCCTAGCCAGGACAACTCACCGTTTCTCTCGCCCGCATCGCACCAAAGCCCATCTTGCAAGGTCCGGCACAGCCACCGGCACCACCTGGCGTGACTCGCGACGGGGATGCGACTGGGCTTGAATCTTGACTGGGCAGCTTGTCCACGAGGTTATCGACGAGGAGGGAGGTCGAGAGGGCGCCCGGCGAGGGTGGCACGGTGGGCAGCGCCGTTGCCCAACAACCTTGCAGATGCCCTGAAGGTGGGCAGCTCTCCGCAGAAATGCCCCCGGCTTGCCAATGGCGTCAGAGTGCATTCTCGCCGGGAGAGCTTTGAACGAACCGGAGCCTACGAACGAGACCGGGTTCTGTTAAAATGCCATTCCCCTCTGCTGGCACCCCCGAATGGCGACTTTTGGAAAGATGGGCACCATCCGTCTGTCGCTCCGTGGTGTCCCCTTGCTCAGTGACTCAAACATCCATTTGTATATCACTCGCGAGTTCGCCCCATTCACGAAGCCGTCGACTGCTGGCTTAGACGAATGCTGGTGCTGCTTTTGCTTCTCGTGATACCACAACACCACCTCACTGCGCAAGTCAAGTTTCAAGCAACGAGCCTTGTCTTTCGACGAGACTCTTGTAGGAGCAACACACTCAACTCGGCACACACCCCGTAGTTATCATTTACCCTTCGCCAAGCGATCTCAACCCAGCTCAACTCTCAACCCGTCTCTCACATCAGCTCCAGCTCGGCCGCCAAGCGGAGCCGCAATACGAGCCTCATCGATCGAGTCAATATATTCCGTGCGGTCTCATACGGCTACACAACATCGAGAGTCCCGTCCCGTCTCCCGGAAATATCGCTTTGCCTTAGCAGTGTTTGGGCAGCCGCTCATCGCGACCCCGGACGGCGTCTTTGGTTGGCTGAGAGCAGCCGTTGAGCGCGCTTAAAAAAGGCTTCACCCAAGTCCTCCACCTCACCTTGCACCCGCACTCGCCTCTCTGCCTTTGCCTGGTGCCGCCAAACGGACGAAACAAAGGCTTGGGCCAAGTCCAATTTCCTCAAGGCCACGGCCAAAAGGGCCTTTGCAGGCTTTATTCCTTCTGCCTCGAGGTGTGAATCAAGTAAGCAGTCTTTCTTCTTTGATTTCGGGACCCATATCCCCGTCCCCCTGCTGCTGCGCGGCTGCTGCGTGATCCCGCGGCCTCGACCTCGGCCGTGTTAGTCGTGCCTTCCTTTTATTGTACTTCCTTCCCATTCACGACTCCCTTCTCTGCTACACCTCTCCCAACCCAAATTCAGTGTTCTTCACCTGCACCTCAAAGACCCCACAATGGATTCATAGAGAGCTTGTTCAGTACCAGTGCTTGACGAGTTTCCTTTGTCAATTTCCTTCTTTCCTCTTTTTTCTGTCTTTGCCTCGACGAGTGATTCACCTAATTCAGTCACCACCACCTTCGACACACAATCCTCTCTGCTTGTCGACCACCACCGCCTCCTCTCTTTTGGGACTTTTCACATTTTTTTCTCTCTTCTGCTTCTACTTTTCTGCTGGCCACGAAATTTTGCATCAAAAATCTTACACCATCGATAGACTCAAGATGTTTACCTCGCGGAAACAACAAGAGGCCTACCCGGCCGTCCCCGACTCCCTGAGGTCGGACTCGCTCGAGATGTCGGAGCTTAGAAAGACCCAACAAGCTCGAGCCGACACCTCACCCTACATCACGCCCTATCTCGGCCTCAGTGCCAGACTTTCGCAAATCTGGATCAACCGCTGGACGATCCTCCTCTTGCTCGTCCTGCTCAGAATCATTATCCTCATCGCCAGCTTGAACGACAATGTCGACGAAGCCAACGCAAAGGCACTGTCTGCCTGTACGAAGGTGGAGGATATCGGCAGCGTCATGGCTTCCATGCCCCACTACCTTTCCGTCGGTGTCAACGAACTGTCCGCCAAGGGCATCGAAAAGACCCTCGATGGCATGGTCGCGGTGCTGGGTCTGGTCATCACCGGTGTCCAGAACCTCATCATCTTCGTCATCAACATGATGACCTCCATGTACACCTGCCTCATCACGGCCTTCGTTCACGGTGGTCTCGACGTGGCTTCCGATGTTACCAAGAAGGTCACCGATGCCATGAACAAGGCTATTGGCTCCATTACCGACACCATCGACGACAAGGCTAAGAGCTTGCAAGACGGTATCAACAAGGCGGCCAGTGCCATCGAAGACTCCGTTCTCGGCAAGGTTCTCCCAGACTTCCCCAAGGTCGACTTCACCGGCCCGGTCAGCGATCTGCGCGATATCAAGATCGACACCAGCGGCTTCGTCAGCGATCTCAACAAGCTCAACAACGACCTTCCCACCTTTGAAGAGGTCCAGAACATGACTGCCGAGGCCATCTCTTTTCCTTTCAACTTGCTGAAGCAGACCGTCAACGACGCCTACGCAGGCTACAAGTTCGATCGTTCTGTCTTTCCTGTTGCGCAGAAGCAGGCACTCACGTTTTGCTCGAACAACAACAACATTTCTGATTTCTTCCGCAATCTAAGGGACAAGATCACCAAGGCTCGCATCGCTTTCATCGTCGTCCTCTCCATCCTGGCCGTGTTGGTCATTGCTCCCATGGCTTGGCTCGAGATTATGCGCTGGAGACGCGAGCGCAAGACGGCCAAGATCATTGCCAACGGCCAGTACGACTCGATGGATGTCGTTTACATTGCTTCTCGCCCCATGACTGCGACTTATGGCGTCAAGATTGCTTCCCACTTCAAGGGCAAGCGCCAGATCATGGTTCGCTGGGCCATCGCCTACGCCACGTCTCTTCCGGCCCTCTTCGTCCTGGCTCTTGCTATCGCTGGCTTTTTCTCCTGCCTGTGCCAATACATCATCCTCAAGGCCGTTCAGAAGGAGGTACCGGCCCTGGCCAACCAGGTCGGCAACTTTGCCGGCGAGGTTGTCAACACACTCGAGGGCGTTTCAAAGGAGTGGGCCGACGATGCCAACGGCGTCATCCTCAACACCCAGAACGAAATCAACAATGACATGCTCGGATACGTCACAAACGCGACGTCAGCGGTCAACGACACCTTGAACACCTTCACAAGCACCATGACGCTCGGCCTTGAAACCGTCTTCAACGGCACCATCCTGATCAACCCCATCAAGGACGTCGTCCGCTGCACGATCGGCCTAAAGGTTGAGGCTGTCCAGAAGGGCCTTACGTGGGTCCACGACCACTCACAGATCTCGTTCCCCACGTTCGACAACGACACATTCAGCCTCGGCGCTCAAGAGTCAATCTCGGGCGACTCGGACCTCAACACGTTCCTTGCTTCGCCATCGTCCGTGACCACCGACGAAGTCACCGGCGCCGTCACCCACGTCACCGACTGGCTGGAGCGCGGCATCATCCAGGAAGCCCTCATCTCTACCGGTATCCTCCTCATCTACGTCATCATTGTTCTCATCGGTGTCATTCGCGCGCTGGTGGGCATGGTCGTGCCAGACAAGGGCCGTGCTGAGGGTGGATTGAGGTATACTGGAGATGACCGTCCGGCCATGAGCCCGAGAAGCCCGTCGAGATCCCATGGCAACGACTCGCGATTCCCGCAGTTTGGTAGTGATCATTCTGCGGTCGATGACGAGCACTACTCGAGAGACATCCGAGACGAAAAGACGATCAAGAAGACCAGCATGGGGCGCGCGCAGCCCATGGAAGGCCACGAGAGGTCGAGCTCATACGGCCACTTTGACACTGCGTCATCTACAAAGTTTTAAGACGGTATCTATGTCGACAAAGAATATCGAACATGCAGAAAATACAACAAGAAAAAAAAGACAAAGAGGTTGGAGACCTTATACTTCCGGCCTGGCTGGACCTTAGCCGAGAGATGCCCCTCATTTTACGACAGGTCTGAATAATACGAAGAGCATGAGATAAAAGGCGTTGGATCATGGTGGAATTTACCCCATGGTGGGGACAGGGAGGGAAGGTCGACTCAAAGATACCAACGGCTCAGTTGCCGCACCGTTTGTTTTCGATTCTACAACGGTTCTCATATTTTGCGTTTTGATTCCGCCGGAATGATTTGGTTCGTGGCAGCTTTGCTAGCTACCAGAATGTCTATTCGGTATATACCACTAGGTAGTTGAAGATTGAATATACTGCTAGCTGCAACCAAAAAAAGCTCAAATGTCCTGATAGCCGCTGTGTCGTGATGAAACAGACGTGAAGTTCGCCGGCAGAGTTGGAGCAATGACATTAACCACGACGGAGACGGAGCCGTTCGGGATAGGCGTACCGACGTGTCCCACAGTATGGGATATGTGGGACACGATTTGGAGTCCGAGGCCATTGCCTGCCGGAGCGGCAACGGGCCAGATGGCAAAGTGATGTCTTTGAACCTCTTTTGGGCATCTCCGCCCCGCCGCCGAGGCGAATTGCGCTGTGGTGGGCTCCGCCGCTGGATGGCGGGGCAGGGGCCTGCAGGTCAATTGAACCACTCAGGAGGCCAGGATTTGGACAAACAGGCCGCTTGCCGGCATCGGTGCTGTGGCGGGTGTGGGGTGCAGCTGGTCCCTGGGGGCTCTGAGGACGCTGTATCTACGCAGTATCGCCACTACGGCGGGCAGCGTCCGACTTTCCAGCGGGTTGGGGCGCCCCAAGCAGCCCTGCGCTCAAGTCGGAGCTCCCGTCCGTGTTCCATCGACTCTGGCGCTGGCACCGTCCCGCCTCCCTCCGACCAGTGACTCCCCGATCCCCCTCCCCCCACGCTTGTCGGAATCATTCATAAAACTACCACCGCCTTTCGAACTTCCTCCAATTGACCCTCCACAAAGCGACAGCACCGAGTCAATTTCTTCCGTATACCCCATTGACAGGTTCATATTCAACATGGAAGGTCTTAGGCAAACATTCCAGCGCTGCAAGGCCCAGGGCAGGGTGAGTCGTTGCTGCTTCCCCCGGTCTCGTGCCCCGCGATCGCAATCGAGGGGACCCCGCGGTCGACACCGTCACCGCCGAGACGGAGCACAAGAACGGAAAACTGATGATTTGAACAGTCTGCGCTTGTTACCTATGTCACTGCTGGTTACCCCACGCCGCAGGACACGCCCGGCGTCCTGCTGGCCATGGAGAAGGGTGGCGCTGGTAAGTTCTGCCCCTTGTGCTGGGCCGTCGAAGAGGACAGTTACTGACACCGCGCAAGACGTGATCGAACTCGGCGCTCCCTTCACCGACCCAATTGCCGACGGACCCACGATCCAGACATCGAACACTGTGAGTAGCACCCGCCGAGCGGCATTTGAGGGCGTTGCGAGGACTAACATGCGTAGGTTGCGCTGCAACATGGCGTCACGATCGAGTCCACCCTCCAGATGGTCAAGGACGCAAGGAGTCAGGGCTTGAAGGCGCCCGTGATGCTGATGGGATACTACAACCCCCTCCTCAGCTACGGCGAGGAGCGCCTCCTGAACGACTGCAAGAGCGCCGGCGTCAACGGCTTCATCGTCGTCGACCTGCCCCCCGAGGAGGCCATCTCCTTCCGCAAGCTTTGCACCAAGGGCGGCCTATCCTACGTGCCCCTGATCGCCCCCGCGACCTCGGACGCCCGCATGAAGATTCTCTGCAAGCTCGCCGACTCCTTCATCTACGTCGTCTCCCGCCAGGGCGTCACCGGCGCTCTCGGCTCCCTGAACGCCAACCTGCCGGACCTCATCGACCGCGTCAAGAAGTACAGCGGCGACAAGCCCGCCGCCGTCGGCTTTGGTGTAAGCACCCGCGAGCACTTCCTCAGCGTCGCCCAGCTCGCCGACGGCGTCGTCGTCGGCTCCCAGATCATCACCACCCTGCAGAAGGCCGCCCCCGGCGAGCTCTTCAACGACGTTGAGAAGTACTGCGCGTACCTCTGCGGCCGCAACAGCCCCGAGGGCGCCGAGACCACCCGCGAGGTCGGCATGGTGGAGGCCATGGCCGCCGCCAAGGAGCCCCAGAACCCGACCGTCGACCACATCACCGCCGACCAGGACAGCGAGCTGGTCGCGCAGCTCGCCGCCATGCACGGCAAGATCCCCGAGCGCTTCGGCGAGTTCGGCGGCCAGTACGTCCCCGAGAGTCTCATGGACTGCCTGTCGCAGCTCGAGGAGGGCTTCAACAAGATCAAGGACGACCCGTCCTTCTGGGAGGAGTACCGCTCGTACTACGAGTACATGGGCCGCCCCGGCCACCTGCACCTGGCCGAGCGCCTGACGGAGCACGCCGGCGGCGCCAACATCTGGCTGAAGCGCGAGGACCTCAACCACACCGGCTCGCACAAGATCAACAACGCCCTCGGCCAGCTGCTGCTGGCGAAGCGCCTCGGCAAGACCAAGATCATCGCCGAGACGGGCGCCGGCCAGCACGGCGTCGCGACCGCCACGGTCTGCGCCAAGTTCGGCATGGAGTGCACGGTGTACATGGGCGCCGAGGACGTCCGCCGCCAGGCGCTCAACGTGTTCCGCATGAAGCTCCTGGGCGCCAAGGTCGTCGCCGTCGAGGCCGGCAGCAAGACGCTCCGCGACGCCGTCAACGAGGCGATGCGCGCGTGGGTCGTCGAGCTCGACACGACGCACTACATCATCGGCTCCGCCATCGGGCCGCACCCGTTCCCGACCATCGTGCGCACGTTCCAGTCCGTCATCGGCACCGAGACCAAGGCGCAGATGCTCGAGAAGCGCGGCAAGCTGCCGGACGCGGTCGTCGCCTGCGTCGGCGGCGGCTCCAACGCCGTCGGCATGTTCTACCCCTTCGCCAACGACCCGTCGGTCAAGCTGCTCGGCGTCGAGGCCGGCGGCGACGGCATCGACACGGCGCGGCACAGCGCCACGCTCTCGGGCGGCAGCAAGGGCGTGCTGCACGGCGTCAAGACGTACATCCTGCAGGACAAGCACGGGCAGGTCGCCGAGACGCACTCCGTGTCCGCGGGCCTGGACTATCCCGGTGTCGGCCCCGAGCTGAGCTCGTGGAAGGACAGCGAGCGCGCAAAGTACGTGGCGGCGACGGACGCGGAGGCGTTTATCGGGTTCCGCCTCATGTCTCAGCTGGAGGGCATCATCCCGGCGCTGGAGTCGGCGCACGGCATCTACGGCGCCATCGAACTGGCCAAGACGATGAAGAAGGGCGAGGACATTGTCATCTGCCTCAGCGGTCGCGGCGACAAGGACGTGCAGAGCGTGGCGGACGAGCTGCCGAAGCTGGGACCCAAGATTGGCTGGGACTTGCGCTTTTAGATGAGGTGTGTTAAAAGGGGGGGGGGGGGGGGCTTTTCACGACGAATGGACACAAAAACATTTGCAGGCGTAACGAGGGGATATCCATTTTACGGGGATGGGTTTTCACGGGCAATTCTGGGAATATAGCATTGTAGACCACAAAAAGACATAAGGGGGAGTTTCCTCCCTAGTTTTCATGAGAAGGTTTTTTGTACATATGATACAATGAGTTCTTTTCAATTCTTCCTCTCTTCGTGACGACCTGACCCTTTCCCTGCGGTGTTTCGAACGAATCATATCGTCCTATCAGACGGCCCGGCATTCTGCCCCTCAATGTGCACCTCCTCGTACGCCTCGTCAAGCGCCTTCTCCTCCTGCGCCTCCTCGCCGAGCGCGAACCCGCCGGCCTCGGCCCTCCTTAGCGCCTCCTGCATCTCCAGCGAGACGCGGATGTGCTCCACGCGGTCGTGGTACAGCTTGTTCGGGTCCTCGCCCGCCCTGTCGGCGCGGATGGCGGCCCAGCTGCGGATGGGGATGAGCGCGGAGAGGTCCGGCACGGGGGCGCCGTTGCTGGTGGTCAGGGTCTCCTCCGAGACGCCCAGGCGCTCCCGCTCGGGGCCGCCGACGGACTCGCGCCAGGCGGCGGAGTTGATGACCATCCAGCGCAGCTTCCAGCCGCTGGGGCCGAGCTCTTTGACGCGCGCGGTTTTCGTCTTGGTCACGTAGGCGTCGAGGCCGCCCTCCTTGCGGATTGTGCGGAGGACGCGGATGGTGAGGCGGGTGCGGACCCAGGCGCCGAGGGCGTCAGACCAGAGGCGGCGGCGGTGGACGTTGGGGCGCCAGGTGCGCGGGGTGATTTGCTTGTGTTTGGGGGCGACGTTGTTGCCGACGCGGATGCGGGCGGAGCCGTAGAGGCCGGTGTTTGATTGTTTGTAGATGAGGCGGGGGCCGAAGGGGTACGGCGGCAGGGCGTCGGAGGGGAGGTTTTTGATGGGGATCGTTTTTGTGAGGAGGGTTGGTGTGGAGGAGAATTGGCGGAGGGTTGGTGGTGTGAGGGCGGTGGGTGTGGGGAGGGTCCCTGGGCGGAGGAGGGAGAGGCCGCGCATCGTGGGCGAGGGTTGTGAGGTTCGGCTGCAGAGGGTGGTGGTTGCCTCGAGGGCAGGCGGGAGGGAGGGGGGTATCGACGTCGGTTGGCGGGTAGTGCTTCGTGATGTTCGAGGAATGGAATTTTTGGAGTTGCAGCTTTCCGTTCGGGCGGGCTGATGTTCCGCCCGTTGGTTGCAATTGAGGGGTTTGATTGGCTGGAGGGGCGGTTTGGCGGGGGCGGCGACGAGGAGCTGGGTTAAAGTGGAATCAGCTGATTGCGTGTGGGTTTCGCGACCTTATCGTTGGGCCGGGAGTCCGTACTACCTTCAACCCCACGCCAGCCTGACGTAGCGAGCAGAGACTACCGAAGTTGCAGTGACATTCCGACAACCACAGATCAATCACTTTTCTTCCGGTCAAGAACAAGGTGGAAAGTCACAATGCTCCCCCCGGTTGAGGAGTCGGTCCTCCAAAATAACCCCGAGTTCGCGGCGCTGCATCATACCCTCACGACGGCCATCCTCAACCCAGACGGTTCGTCAAAGAAGCCGTATACCAAGGAACAGTCCGCGATCCAAAATGTGCGAATGCCCTCAGTTTGAACCATCGCCGAATTCCAGCTGACATCAAGTCTAGGAACTAGCAGACCACACCTACACAACCGCAAAAGACCACCTCCTCACATCCGCCATCGCGACCACCGCGCCCCCGGACCCGAAACCCGCGCACCGCTCGCTGCGTCCCACATCCACATCCACATCCCAACAACAACCACCACCGCCCTCACAGCAGCAACAACAGCTCCCAGAGCCCCTCCTCGACCTCCTCCTCCTCCTCCCACCCCTCCTCACCTCCCCGACGCCCCTCGACCCCGCCTCCGCCGCCATCCTGCTCTCCAACCCGCCCTTCTCCCAGCTACAATCCCTCCTGCCCCAACTCGGCGAGCTCGTCTCCTCCACGCTGCACACCTCCGCCGTCTCCCTCGCGCGCATCGCCAACCCGTCCACGAACCCCTCCTTCCTGCATCGCACCGTGCCGGGCCTCAACGCAACCTACGCCAAACTCGAGACCGACGTCGCGGCGGCGCGGCACGCCCTGGCTTCGGAGCGGTTGCGCGCGGCGGCCGCGCTGACGGAGCTGTTGGACACGCACGCCGGCGCGCTGACGCTGCTTGTGCGCGCGCTGGAGGCGAAGCACGGGCTGGTCGCGCGCAGCCTGGAGATACGCGCCGCGGAGACGGGGCTGGAGGCGCAGCGGGCAAGGGCGGAGGCGGAGGTGGCAAGGGAGGGGGTCGTGAGGGAGGTGTATTCGCCTGAGATGGTGGTTGCGCTGGGGAACTATGAGGCGCATTTGAGGGATGCGCGGATACGGTTGGAGGGGACGGTGGCGAATTTGAAGGCGGAGCTGGAGGGGTACGGGGTTGGGGAGGAGGGGAGGGGGGATGGGGGGAAGGAGAGGACGTTGAGGGAGATTGCGAGGAGGTATCGCGAGTTGGAGAGGGAGAGGGACGAGGCTTTGAGGGATTTGGAGAGGTTGGGGAAGGCGTGAGGGTCATCAACGGGGAGTTACGGAACAATCGAAGAGATTACCAAAGAAGCAGAGGTCACGGTCTAGGGAGACAGATTATAAAAGACGTCGCTATATTGTTACACAGCTGGGAATGCGTGTGTGGTCTACCTATGGTGCGCCAACGTTCTATATCCGCAGGCCCGGTTGAGTCCTGGCTTTGCTGAAAGAGAAGGCCTCTCCCCCTTTTGTGTTCGTTACAGTGAAACACACCCTGTTCTTTTGGAAACCGAAGCACCCCATGTCAACAGAACCCCCATGATATCTCTTTTTTGGTGGAAATTGTGCAAGCTACAAAAGGGCAGCGCTTAGCCCTTGACCTTGTAGATGGCCTCGGCCAGACGGCCGACGTTGCCGCTGGTGATGCCGGCCACGGAAATGCGGCCGTCCTTGGTGGCGTAGACGGAGTGGTCCTTGGCGAGGGCGTCCATCTGCTGGGGGGTCAGGCCGGTGTAGGCGAACATGCCGATCTGGGAGGTTATGTGGGACCAGTCGTGGGCGGAGCCGAGCTTCTCGAGGTTGTCCTTGAGGAGGGCGCGCATGGTGATGATGCGGTCGGCCATGCCCTTGACCTCGCCGAGCCACTGCTGGTTGAGGGCGGCGTCGTTGAGGATGGTGGAGGCGATGCGGGCGCCATGGACGGGAGGGTTGGAGTAGAGGGGGCGGACGAGGATCTTGACCTGGGAGTCGAGGCGCTTGCGCTCCTCGGGGTCCTGGGCGACGATGGAGAAGGCGCCGACGCGCTCGCCGTAGAGGCCCATGTTCTTGGCGAAGGACTGGGCGAGGGCGATGTTGTGGCCCTCCTTGACGAAGTGGCGGACGGCGAAGGCGTCGGTGTCGGTGTTGCCCGAGGCGAAGCCCTGGTAGGCCATGTCGAAGAAGGAGTAGTGTCCCGCGGCCTTGACGGCGTCGGAGATCTCGCGCCACTGCTCGGGGGTGGGGTCGACGCCGGTGGGGTTGTGGGCGCAGGCGTGGAAGAGGAAGATGGAGTTCTTGGGGGCGGCCTTGATGTCGGCGAGCATGCCGGCGAAGTCGAGGCCGATGGTCTTCTGGTCGTAGTAGCGGTACTTGTGGACGGCGAGGCCCGAGTCGGTGAAGACGGCGCCGTGGTTGGCCCAGGAGGGGGTGGGGATGTAGATGTTCTTGGCGCCGGGGAAGTGGCGGGCGAGGAAGGCGCCGCCGATGCGGAGGGCGCCGGTGCCGGAGATGGACTGGGTGATGGCGAGGCGGTCGAGGGCGGAGGAGTCGGGGCCGTAGGCGAGGACGGCGGCGGCCTTTGTGAACTCGGGCACGCCGGTGATGCCGGCGTACTCCTTGTTCAGCTTGGCGGCGACGACCTTCTCCTCGGCGGCGCGGACGGAGGGCAGGACGTAGGGCTTGCCCTGGTCATCGCGGTAGGCACCGACACCTGGGGGTTGTTAGTGTTTGTAGGAGTGTTTGAGCATTGTGCGGTTGTGTGTGGAGGTGAAGCTCGTGACAGCTTGTCCAGAGCTCGCAGGCTGAGGTGTGCGTCATGGTGGGGAGGCATTCGTACCGAGGTTGATCTTCTGCTCGAAGGTGTCGGCCTTGAAGGCTTCAGTGATACCTGTTTGGTAGCGTATTAGCTTCAATTGGGTTCGTGGCTGCTTGCGGGACCAAAAAAAAAAGGAGGAAGCTGCGGGAAAGGTGCGTCATACCGAGAATTGCCTGTTCGTCGCAGCAAAAATCGGCCGGTCAGCAAACAACGTCGTTTTTCCCACGGGAGAGGCAGCTTTTTCGCAACATGTCGGTGTTTAACTTACATCCTGCAGGAATTCGTTAGCAATCGTGGCGCACTCAATTGGGGCATTTTGGAGTCGGGGCGTATAAGACATACAGGAGGACCTTGAGGGACGTTGGCCCAAGTCGAGCCGGCACGGGCGGCCATGACGGGCAGGGCGGCCGCACGGCGGACGGCGGCTTGCCTGGTGGCGATTCTGGCGGTGGACAGCATCTTGAATCTGGTGTTCTTCTCTTCTTCGGGAGATGAATAGAGAGAAAAAGGGAAGAGGGTTGAAGATGGAGGAGAGGAGGAGGAGTTCGGGAAGAGGTCGAGGTTTTGCTCGGAGGAGGGTGACGAACAAAAAAAAAAGACTCCGAGACAGCGAAGTGCCGAAAAAGCAGCTGCAGACGGGACACACTGTCACACTAAGGTGCTGGGTACTGGGGGGTGGGAGTCACTCTGAAAGAAATGGACACAATGGAAGCAAGGAACGGGTATGGCGCGGGTGGATAGGTTGGAATGGTCTGACTTGTGACTCTGCGCCTGAACCCGTGGGTGGTGCGTGGTGCTTCCTAGTCGGTCGGGCCACAGCCCACCTACCTGAGGAGGAGCAGCAACTGCAAGCACCACCACCGCCAGAGAGCTACGGACACCTAAGGTATGGACTGTTCAGCTGTTGGAGGGGGAACTTCCATCATCCATGACCTCCACTGGAGGAGGAGGGGGCCGGTCCGGTGCGACTCCGGCCCTGTGACCCCACCTTTTCGCTGGAGAATCATCGCTGGAGCTTCAAACCTCTCAACAGCGGCACTGGATGCTGAAGCAGGCGACTGTGGATCGAGTCATGCGGTGCCCCCACTGGAATCGTGCAATCGCGGGGAAGCGGAGTTTCTGTATCACCGCCTTCCGCCCTTCCTATGCAGTACCTACGTACCTACTGCCATCATGGTCTGTGCGCAATCCCACATGGGGGCCCACGGGGAGCCAATTCCGACCACTCTGAGCCGCTGTTTTCTGACTGGAGCGCATCCGGCACCCTTCCATTTCTCTCAGTCTCTCTGGACACATGGTCCGGCTTCGGATCTTTTGACCGTTCTCAGCTGAGGCTCTCGTCTCGAGGTTGCGCTTCGTCATGCCCCCCAGGATCGGGATTGTGAGCCCTCCCCCTGCCGCTGCTTCTCAGATGAGCCACTTTTCATTCGCTCGCTTCAATGGGAGTTTGCATGCTCGGAGTTTGCAACCTTGCTTTTTCGGACTTTGCCATCCGGTCCGCCGACCCAGCACCCGCGTGAATGCACCGGCTTCCCTCCGTGTGCGCGGCATGAACCCCGAACGCTTCGGTTTCGCTAATGTCACGATGCATCTCATATAGCGGCTCTCACTCACTTCAGTCATTCAATTCTTTCGTATGAATTATGCTATGAGAACTTCTCTTCAAAGATGAAGCAGCCCTACGGTTTGGCTTCATATTCACCTATTTACATCAAGAAAGCCAGTCACACGGCACTTTCATCGTGCTGTCCTTCATGACACATCGCAATTATTTCGAGGCTTTGCAGCACAGCCGCGTTTGCAGACCGTCTTCTCTACTCCTTTGCCTGCTCCGGTTTACGCGCGTAGACAAGATGGCTACCGTCAAATATTAGCAGTTACCTTCCACCGGTCGAGACGTTGTGTGAACTTACATGTCAATCTTTGGCTGAATCTTCGCGTTCTTGAGCTCCCTGCGCATCTCGCTCATGAACACCAGGATCTCCGCGTACTCCCACCCCATGATCTCTTTGAGGAGGAAGGTGCCGAAGCCCTCGAGAGACTGGTCGAGGAACTCGAGGTGACAGAACCCGACCTTTGCTCCAAGCGTCAGTCACCGAAACCCACTGCGGTATGCAAAGCGCTGCTCCTCGTTCAACTCACCTCCTTCAACTTGGGGTCTCTCGCCCAGTTCCCAATTGGGATCGGCCACGTCTTCTCCACAATGTCGACGAAGCCCGCGGCCTCGAGGTTCTTCCTGATGCCGTGGTCGCGGTGCTGCCGCGCCGTCTTGCCCATCTTGTCAAACGCCTCGAACATCACCTTCGCCCAGCGCTTGAACGGGTGCTCGTCGTCGAGGTCCGGGATGACCTGCGAGCGCACCTCGAAGTCGGTCTCCTTGACCTCGATGTACCCGACGCCGGGCTGCAGGATCTCGAATGCCTGGGTGTAGAGCGCCGGCCAGTCGGACACGCAGCCCTCGAGGTTACGGATGTGCACGAAGTCGAAGTGCGCCGCGGGCCACGACCAGGGCATCTTCTCGATGTCGTCGATCTGGAACTTGCAGTTGGGGGGCACCCAGCCGGGCTGGATGGGCGAGATGTCGATGCCGTAGACCTCGGCTGAGGGGAACTCGTCCGCGAAGTCGCTGGTGGCACGTTTAGTTCTGGGCGTCTTTTTTTACCGTTAGGTCTGGTGTTGTTTGAGACTCACATGGCCCAGATACCGGTCCCCGTGCCGACATCAAGGACTCTCTGGGATATCTACATCAGCGTCTATCCATCAGGAGTGGCACATTGATCCTGCTAACCTGTGGGTTTTCGCCAATAGGAGAGAGGAAGAGCCTGTCGTCCAAGAACACCGTCATCCAGTAGTGGCTTCTTCGGTCAGCGATTGCTATTTCAGCTCAGCACTGGAGTAGACCTCACTTGATCTCGAGACCCTCGTTCTGCTTCTCGTCGTTGGGGCCATAGTAGTCCGTCTTCTGCGTGTACGTGCGGCCGTGTAGGCGGCGGTACTCGGTGATGCTCTCAGTCAAGGACGCAGACGACGAGACGACGCTGCAATTCGTCAGCACTGCAAAGTCGCAGCACTCATCATACCAAGCCCAAGCTTGTGCCTACCTCGCCGTGTCTGCCTGGCTTTCATCATCGGTATCGAGCGCAGGATCCTACAAGTCCCCGAGATCATCAGCTGTCCCATCTTCTCAAACACGCCCCGGCGAGGACGCCATCAGTAGTACCCACCGCCGTGATGGGTCCCTCGGCGGGTCCGTCGCCGGCTGCTGCGCCGGTGTTGGGGCGCGGCGAGCCGGTCGGCGCCGCGGCTGGATCCGGAGTCGCGCACATTGCTTTCTTTTTTTCGTGTATTTTCGCTGTATGCGTGTGTTATTTCCGGTGAGATGAGAATGAAACCCAAATGTGCGAAACCATCCGTGGAAAACCCCCTCTTTTTTACCGACGAGACGTCGTGTTCACGCCTGTTGGTTCCT